ATACTTCATAAGCCTCGGCCGATGAGTGAAGTGAAATATCGACACCACAATCGTTATGACCAAACCCACGACTTATTTGGGCCATTGGATTAGAGTTGCTCATGGCCCGACCCATTACCTTGGAAGGCTTTTAGGTTATTAGCCCACTTGTATTCTACCTATTGGGCCTTATTCTCCCTAACCTAAAAGCCCATCTATACTCTATATAGATTGTGCCCCATTACTGTTGATTGAGTGAAAATAGATTGTTTGGGCAGCCGAGTTTTGAGAAGAAAAGAGAGCTCCTTTGCTTCGTGCTTCCCTTGGTTTTATGCCACCTTCCTCTCTTCTTCTCTTAGCCTTTGTNCAATGAGGTGATATAACGCGATATGAATTATAAATTGCACAAACTAATAAGTAATAACAAGATTTAAAAGAAAGCAAACAAGAAATTGGTAGATGAACCAAATAGTTTATTAATGATAACAAATGGAGAGAAAATACAACTTTCAGCAACTTCTGTAATCTGCTAAACTTAATGAAGAGTCTACTATTTACAAGGCCTAGAAATATCACAAAGATGAAAACAAGATAAAAAAAATCACGTGAAATAAAGGAAATAATATTTCCCCAATATTTTTTCAATAAAACACGTGAAGTAAAAGGAAATAATATTTTTTCAATAAAACACGTGAAATAAAGTAAATATTTTCTCAAAATATTCTACCTAATTTGGATCACAAAATCCAACAATCTCCACCTTGACACAAATTTTGATGCAACGAACGGAGTTTCAAAATTTCTCTACCTGGAAAAATAAGTCCTACTGTAACAAACAATTTGAACTCTTCATCCCAAACCAAACTTTTCCCAAAACAAGAAAAATACTCTTCCTCTTCCACCATACCCAACATGGATAAATGAACCCAACCATCGGGTTCCCAAAATTCACAAAAAATTCAAAATTTACCAAACAGGGTCGAAGCACACCCTGTAGCGGAATCAACACTAAATGTTTTAACTGAAGGCCCTTGACTAGACTCGTCACCTTCAACAACTCCAAAAGCATGCACATCCAGATCAGGATCCTCGTACCTATCTCCAATGGGTCTCTCCCTAATTGTTGAATACAATGGAACCTTAGACTATGGTGGCAAAGTGGAATTACCGATATCTCCCAAACTCGACAAAGTAGTATTCTCCAAACTAGAACCAGAGCCAATTCCCAACGGTACTGAACCAAATTATATATCCACCACGATACCAAACTCGTGTTGATGTCTTTTCACTGATTCTGCCCAACCTTGCAAGATGTATAACTGGGACTTTCTCCGCCTCTCCAATACAACACGGACACCCTTCCGGACTTTCAAGGCTCCACCTGCTCCAGAGAACATGTACCCTATCGAATCCAGGGTACTCAACGAGATGATGTTCTTCTTTAAGTCTGGAATGTGTCGAACCTGATCAAGTGTTCTGATTGTTCCATCCACCAACTTCAATTTGACTCTCTCAATACCAACTACCCGACAAGATTCGTTGTTTCCCATAACAACGACACCTTGCGTCACCGTTTCACATGATTTAAACAAATCCCGATTGGGACTCATATGAAACGCATAAGCTGTATCCAAAATCCACTCCTCATCAAGCTTGGATTCCACGTTAGAAATTGTCAAAACATCTACTCCACCTAAATAGTCCTCAACTACGTTGGTCTCATCCAAAATATCTGGTTGCCTCCCACAATTTGCAGCTAAATTATTCTTACCCTGCAACTTCTCGCAATCCCTCTTTATGTGTCATTTCTTCCTGCTGCAGTAAAAGCAGACCCTATTCCTGAAATCCACCCTCGACTTACCCCTTTGCCGATTACCATGAACTTCAAGAGCTTCCTCATCTCTGGAACTAGTTCCAACCAGATGCTTCATCTTCTCCTTTGAGAACAAGATATCATACACTTCTTCAATTGAAAGTATGTCACGACTGTACAGAATCGTGTCCCTAAACGACAAAAATGAACTAGGTAGCGAGCACAATAGGATTAAGGCCAAGTCATCTTCATCATATTTTACCTCTAACATGTCTAGGTTTACGACGATCTCCTAAAACACGGCCGATGATCTTTATTGATCGGCCTTCTACCATGCTACGAGAATAAAGCCTCTGCTTCAGATGCAATTTGTTGGTCAGACTTTTGGTCATGCACAATTGCTCCAGTTTCAACCATAATGTAGTTGTTATCTTCTCTTTCAAGATGTCCTGAAGAGTGTTGTTAGATAAATGAAGATGAATCTGCGAAAGTGCCTTGCGATCCTTCCGTTGCTTTTCCTCTGTTGTCCAAATTGTGGGCATCCTATCAAATCCCAACAAAACATAATCCAAATCCATCTGCGCTAATACATCTCTCATCTTCACTTGCCACAACGAAAATCTTGTACTGTGATCCAACAATGGAATATTATACTTCGTGGTAGCCATCGATAACAAATAAGCTCAAACAATCAAATCATTTCTTTGTGGAACTGCTGAACCTTGGCTCTGATACCACTCGTTAGGAATTCGATGAGGTGATATGGTGCGATATGAAGTATAGATTGTATAAACTAATAAACAAGAACAATATTTAAAAGAAAGCAAAAAAGAAATTGGCAGAAGAACTAAATATTTTATTAATGACAACCAATTGATAGAAAATACAATTTTCAGCAACTACTGCAATCTACTAAACTGAATGAAGAGTCTACTATTTATAGGGTCTAGAAATATCACAAAGATGGAAACAAGATAAAAAAAATCACGTGAAATAAAGGAAATAATATTTCCCCAATATTTTTTCAATAAAACACGTGAAATAAAAGGAAATAATAATTTTCCAATAAAACAAGTGAAATAAAGGAAATATTTTCTCAAAATATTCCACCTAATTTGGGTCACAAAATCCAACAGATTCCACCAATTGAAGGTCCATTTTGCAACAGCCGAGTCACCATTTTAAGTTAAATCATTTAAGTTACACACAAGTATTTTATTAATTGACATCTAAAAGCATAATTATTAATTAAAAGGGAGGGAAACTCAATAAATACTTGTGAAAATACGTAAAATATAGAGATAAAAATAAATAATTAAAAGTTGTTGGAGTGTATAAAAAATTTCGCTTTTAAAATTTAAAGAAGCTTTCGATTATGTTCAAGATACTCTTTATAAATAAAAGAGTCACCTTTGAGAACAAGGCATCATACACTTCTTCAATTGAAAGTGTGTCACGACTGTACAGAATCGTGTCCCTAAATGACAAAAATGAACTAGGTAGCGAGCACAACAGGATTATGGCCAAGTCATCTTCATCATATTTTACCTCTAACGTCTCCAGATTTACGACGATCTCCTTAAACACGGCCAGATGATCTTTATTGATCGGCCTTCTACCATGCTACGAGAATAAAGCATCTGCTTCAGATGCAATTTGCTTGTCAGACTTTTGGTCATGCACAATTGCTCCAGTTTCAACCACAATGCAGTTGTTGTCTTCTCTTTCAAGACGTCTTGAAGAATGTTGTTAGATAGATGAATATGAATCTGCGAAAGTGCCTTGCGATCCTTCCGTTGCTTTTCCTCCGTTGTCCAAATTGTCGGCATCCTATCAAATCCCAACAAAACATAATCCAAATCCATCTGCGCTAATACATCTCTCATCTTCACTTGCCACAACGAAAATCTTATACTGCAATCAAACGGTGGAATATTATACTTCGTGGTAGCCATGGATAACAAATAACCTCAAACAATCAAATCATTTCTTTGTGAAACTGTTGAACCTTGGCTCTGATACCACTTGTTAGGAATTCGATGAGGTGATATGGTGTGATATAAAGTATAGATTGTACAAACTAATAAACAAGAACAATATTTAAAAGAAAACAAAAAAGAAATTGGCAGAGGAACTAGATATTTTATTAATGACAACCAATTGATAGAAAATACAATTTTCAGCAACGACTGCAATCTCTAAACTGAATGAAGGGTCTACTATTTATAGGGTCTAGAAATATCACAAAAATGGAAACAAGATAAAAAAAATCACGTGAATTAAAGGAAATAATATTTTTTCAATAAAACACGTGAAATAAAAGGAAATAATAATTTTTCAATAAAACAAGTGAAATAAAGGAAATATTTTCTCAAAATATTTAACCTAATTTGGGTCACAAAATCCAACAAATCCCACCAATTGAAGGTCCATTATGCAACAGTCGAGTCATCATTTTAAGTTTAAATCATTTAAGTTACACACAAGTATTTTATTAATTGACATCTAAAAGCGTAATTATTAATTAAAAGGGAGGGAAACTCAATAAATACTTGTGAAAATACGTAAAATATAGATAAAAATAAATAATTAAAAGTTGTTGGAGTGTATAAAAAATTTCGCTTTTAAAATTTAAAGAAGCTTTCGATTATGTTCAGGATACTCTTTATAAATAAAAGAGTCTCATTGAGGTGNGATACTCTTTATAAATAAAAGAGTCTCATTGAGGTGCTCATAGATTGTTAATCCATCGATTTTTTCCTTTTATGAGTTTTTACTTTAGTAAATTAAATTATGAGACTTCTCATTTCATATTCCAAAATTACGAAGTACAAAAAACTAATAAGAATTATTGATATATGCGATTGGAGATTGGAAGAGATAATCAATATATCTATTAAATACTAAAATCCAGAATAGTTTATTTTTTCATTAGAAGATAAGTAAGAATAAGTCATGACAAAATTAATAAACAAGAGGATACTACTAAAATATTTCAAATACAATCGTTCACAAAATATTTTTTGAATCGTGTCACATTTATCTAATATATTATTATATATAGATTAAAAAATATTGATATTTTGGGACAGAAAGATCAAAATAAAACATCAATCAATTATCATGTCTCCTTATACATGTTGAAATACAAGCATTGATAATTTCTCTTACATACATACCACGTTCGACTCTATCCTCAAGAGTCATATCACGATTCCACCAACAATTTTTTATTCTCTAACCTCATAACTCGTTGCAAGTCCTCAAACCCAACTTCAGAACATGTAAATACAACCTTGTTCATTATTGCATCACTTCCCACCACATTCTGTATACTCCACCATCTACAGCTACCATCAGTTATTAACTCACACGCCACTACCTCATCCATCTCCAATGGATTGTAAATGTAAACAAGATTTCCGATTACACATGTATTTAATGAAGAAATTTCAGAACTCTTGCTCTTCAATTTCTCAATGTATAGGCAAGGCATTTCACCAATTTCTTCACACTGAAAATTTTCTCCTACAACCTTCCAAATTTTCAATCGCTCGGCATTTTGAGAACTTCTAAACAAACCCACCAAAATCAAATCGCAATTAGAAGTCCCAATATTATAGTCTACAATGGGTTGCCCAGGATTCAAAGTGTAGGGACCGATCCAACATTTTGATTTTGGATCGAACCAATAAGTCATACCTGATTGTTTCATTGTGACAAAGAGTTTTTTATTTGTGGTAGCAATTGATAGAAAATTAGACGCTGACAAGCCTATCAAATTCCTTGGCATGTTGTCGCAAATCTGCCATGCGCGTGTCCTAATGTTGTAGATCTCAACAATTGATGGATCGCTCTCGTAGTCATATTCGCCTCCTGCAACAACAATACTGTCTCCAACATGTGCCACAATTGGATCCCTCCTCGATCCAAATGGAGGGTACGCGTGACTCCATGTGAGATTTATAGGGTCGAACGAGAAGGACAATTCCAAAGAGGAAAACACATAAAGAAAATTGGAGTGGGATGATTTAAGATTTGACGTGCATTTGATCGAATGCTTGAGCATTTTCATCCATAAATGTGAACGAGGGTCGTATGCATGCATGGAGATGGTACGAGGGTCGTGAGTGTCTTGCTTGTGAAGGATGAGCCACGGTTTAGGTCTTTTGTGGTGGCAAAGGGAGGATGCCACCGCGCAACACCATGACTTACACACGCGTGAGGCAGACACCAAGTGAATGAGTGGCACGTGCGAGAGTATAACTTCTAAAATATCTCCACGAATTTCAAATGCATCTTCCTCTCTTACTTGATCTTCTATTCTTTCCATTTGGATATGGACAAGTATGGTTGGAATTGGCAACTAGTTATATAGTGGGCTGATGATGGCTCTGTTCCTTTTCTTTTTATATTTTAATTGTAAAGAGCCGACAAAGGATTGAGAATCTTATTCAACAAGGGAATAATATTGTACCACAATAACCTGTCACTTTCTTCAAGTTGAATTATTGTGTTTCTTCAAGATATATTTTAGAACCATGCTACAGTATCTGCGTGATTGACCGTGGAGATGACCGCACACACACAGGAGGGGTCGGATTATTTTATTCAGGGGTGGGACCCGTGCCGAGGCTGTGAGTGTGCAGTAATCCCCGCGGTCACCGGCGCGGATCGTTTAGCATTATTCTATATTTTATTACTCTTGAAAATTAAAAATTCAAATTGTTGGGTTATTCATATTATTTTGATAATGTTAATTATTTTGCTTCACATCACTATACGTGATGTGATAAGTACAACTACCTTAAGGTAAGCGCTTTTTCCAAGTTGAATTATTGCGGTGGTTGGGAAAATTGTAATATTGTTGTTCAAACTTATTTATCCTTTAGTAGGTCGGTCCTCAACTGTTAAAAATAAGCAAATTAATCCTCTAACTTTATAACTATACAATCAAAGACTACACTGACGAAAATCTTTATTAAACTGCATATTGTGCTTTTTTGGAAGTTCAAAGAAATACCTATAAATATATACTAAGAAGTATATAGATTTTAGAAAAATAAAACTTCACTATTATTCAAAATCCAAACAATAAAGGATCATTTATTTGCTAATGATTTCTCAAGACTCCATTGGTAGTATGTGATTATTTTTATTGTCATAGACTCTAAAAATTCATATTATGACCTCGACAATTGGTATATGTATATCTACACGTTATAATATGTATCTTTACATGTTATACTAATTTATCAAATTTTATTATATGGTCTAAATCTCAAACTCACGTCTCGATTTGTAAGAGACTCACATAATCATCAAATTATTGATCAGGTAATTTAATGCATTAAATTCATAATAAAATCAACACATAAATAAATAAATAACAGAAATCTTGAATAAAAAAATAAAGGGTCACAAGTCAACTATATTGTTTCCCTAATATAAAAATTAGTTATTTATATTGTAAAAATAAAAACACGCACAAGTGGAAAGATATCACCAAAAATTGACGAAACGTGAAAATTTCTGGTGTTTGCAGTTTACTTTCCTTTCCTTTTCTTTTTTTCATTTTTTACTTTCTTCCTCTTTTTTACCCTTTTTTTCTTCCTCTGACTTTGAATTTTCCCCATTTATTTTCTCTTCTTTCTTTTTTCTTCTTTTTCTTTCCTGTGTACTTTTTCTTTTCTGTTTTCCTATGTGCAGTGCAGTAGTTCTCTTTTTTGTAAAATTCATAATAAAATCAACACATAAATAAATAAATCACAGAAATCTTGAATAAAAAAATAAAGGGTCACAAGTCAACTATATTGTTTCCCTAATATAAAAATTAGTTATTCATATTGTAAAAATAAAAACACGTAAAAGTGGAAAGATATCACCAAAAATTGACGAAACGTGAATATTTCTGGTGTTTGCGGTTTACTTTCCTTTCCTTTTTTTCATTTTTTACTTTCTTCCTCTTTTTGACCTTTTTTTCTTCCTCTGACTTTGAATTTTCCCCATTTATTTTCTCTTCTCTCTTTTTTCTTCTTTTTCTTTCCTGTGTACTTTTTCTTTTCTGTCATCCTATGTGCAGTGCAGTAGTTCTCTTTTTTGTTTTCCACCCCACCCCACCCCACCTCTTTCTATCCATGTGCGTGAATATATATATGTGTGTATATATGTTTAATTTGGGTATCCAATTAAAATTTTCAATCCAAGTCCATTGAATCTCATTTGACTCGAACTCATTTAATATAATATTTTTCTCCAAAGTTTCATCTTTGAATTTTGCCATTATTCTCCACTTTTGCATTTTTTTCTCAAATTCTTCATTAAACATAAAATTTTACCTACAAAATACAATATAACATAAATTAGGCATAATTTTATCCAAAATATAATAAAATATCATGATTTAGGGCCTCGAATAAGTGTAAAAACTACACTTATCATATCCCCAAACTTAAATCTTTATTTGTACTCAAACAAAACTAAAACCTAACAAATACACAAACAAACAATGTTAATTACTTAATTGGTGGTCAATCAATCAAGTAAAGCAACAAGATTTAGTTAGCTAACCTAGCTTTTTATCTCTGGATTGAACTCATGATAACAAATCTATGCACAATTTCAAAATCATAATACAAAAATTAAAATCCATTTTTTCAATGTAAAATCGACATGTGTGTGTGAACAATTAAGTATAGCATTATGAATTCATAAGTTGTTTCAATTCCTAACCATCAATGGTCAAATATGTTCTTTCATCACTCGTAAGATTCACACATTCCCAAATTTATTCTTTTCACTCTTTTCCAATGTATGAATTAATATTGGATTTTTTTACTATCCTTACCACTTTAGTTTGACAAAATTTCACCAATTGCAATTCTACATTTCAATAAATTAGGATTCTCCATTAAATTTAATCGTTTCAATCTTTAGGATTTAACTAGACTGACAATCTCTTAGTAAAAGTCGAATTTTCTTAAACAAGTGTTTGAAACTTAACTAGTCTTCTGTTTCATGCATCTGTTTTTTCTGAATTTTTTTTAGAATACTTTTTTCTGTATTTGAATCATTCTCTCCCTTAAACTTTCTAAATGATCAATGTAAAACACTTTCGGTCAATGACTCTCAAGTCAGATTATTATAAGACACCGGGTTTTAAAGACCATTGCAAGCTTAATTGCTTGAATAATAAATGCTATAAAGAGAAATTTTCTAATAAAATATTTTTTATGCCATAATTAATGCAATATCCCTCATTTAATACCAATTCAAGTAAAATGACCTCTAACTTGAGATTTTCACTCAATTGCATCCTATTGATTTTAGACAATCCACGTAATATTTTAGTTTCATATATGAAATCCCTATTTATCTCAATATCTTCTTACAACAGTGAAATCCCCACAACTATTTTTAATTTGGTCCAAACATGTAAAATTTAGTGGTTTTAGATTTAGCATCTATGATCCACTATTTCAACCTATTCAATTATGAAATCAACACATTTCTACACAATGCTTAACTTGATTCCTGTGTCAATATATATCAAATTTCAAATGAAAAAGCAAAAAATAATCGAAGAATGCAACTTATTCACCATTCATAGATCAATTCATAATTCAGTATATTTATCATTGCCAAACTAAGCCAACTAACTCACACAAGCACACAAAAGAATTTTATTTTATTTTTTTGAATTTTTTTACTAAAACAATAAAAGCACACAAAAACAAATAAAAAAAAATGAAAACTTACATCCCCAAACTTAAACTAGACATTGTCATCAGTGTCTTTAATCCTAAATTCACATATAAAAGGGTTGGAAAAATTGTGAAGAAAAGACTCCTCTGATATATATGACTTGTAATTCAATGACTAACTTTCATATTGGTCCCGTTGGTTCCTTGGTCAATTTTGGTTTAAATGTTCCGTGACATCATGTTCCTAAAAAATCAAATAAAGGATTAACATCAAATAATTGGAACAAGTGTTACTCAACACTAACATCTGATAACCTAACTAACATATTGACGACCTAAGGGGAAATGGGGTATAGATGATGAGTCACAAATAAACTTTTAATAAACTAAACTATTCTAAAACTCAAAAACAGAATAAATAAAAAGAAAAAAAGTTTGGGTTAGCTCCCAAGAAGCAATTGTTTAACGTCGTTAGCTTGGTTTTGTGTCGTGATTATTCTGGAACACTAACTTAATGCTTTCTTTAGTAGTGAAAAATCATGTACGTAGTGTTTGATGCGTTGTCTATTAACCTTGAAATTTTCCTTAGTTGGGTGGTGTAATTCAACTGTACTGTAGGGAAACATTTGGGATACTATGAAATGTTTAGACCATCTTGATTTCAATTTTCCTAGGAACGACTTAAGTCTAGAGTTGTATAAGAGCACTTGATCCCCCACTCTGAAGTAATTTAACTGTACCGTAGGGAAACACTTGGGATACTGTGAAAGGTCCAGACCATCTTGATTTCAATTTTCCTGGGAATAGCTTAAGTCTGGAGTTGTACAAGAGTACTTGATCCACCACTCTGAAAATTCGTTGTCGAATATTCTTGTCATGCTACTGTTTCGTCCTTTCTTTATAGATTGATGCATTTTCATAAGCTTCTCTTCTGAATTCTTCCAATTCGTGAAACTGTAATATTCTTGTTTCTTCGGACTTTTCTAGTCCATGTTCAACTACTTCAATGCCCAGTATGTTTTGTGCTAAAACTCAACTAGTAGGTGGCAAGCTTTCCCAAAAACTATTCAGTATGGCAGCATTCCAATCGGCGTCTTATAAGCAGTGCGATAGACCCATAAAGTATCGTCCAATCTTTTGGATCAATCTTTTCGAGATGCATTCACCGTGAGTTACAAAATTCTCTTCAACTATCTGTTAGAAGTTTCAACCTGCCCACTTGTCTGAGGGTGATATGGTGTAGCTATTCGATGTTGTACCCCGTATTTAGCAAGCACCGCCTAGAATAACCTATTGCGAAAGTGAGTTCTACCATCACTTATGATGGCTCTTGGAGATCTATAGCGGTTGAAAATACTTTTCTTCATAAAATCTACTACTACCCTCGCATTATTGGTGGGTAATACATTCGCTTCTACCCATTTGGAGACGTAGACCATGGCCACTAGGATATATCGATTGTTATAGGACGATGGAAAAGATCCCATAAAATCAATTCCCTATACATCAAATAGTTCCACCTCCAAAATGTTGTTTAGTGGCATCTCGTGACGGGCCGATATGTTACCTGTTCATTGACACTTATCATAAGATCTACAAAAACTATGGCAGTCCTTGAGTAATATTGGCC